AACTCTCGAGAAAACATTTTATGATCCTGGCTTTGGACAGAAGTAGCAGAAAGGATGAAAGAAAAAAATCATAAATTGGGCCCCTCATAATTAAAAACATCTGCCTTCTGAAAAGACACTGATGAGAGAAAAGGAAAGGTACAGATGCAGAAAGTATCTGCAAAGATCTGAGAGAAGGTTCCTGTCCTTAAAACATAAAACTCTCTTAAAATAAAGCAATCTGATTTAAAAATGGGCACATTTGATTCATCAAAGAAAAGTAGCAAATAAACACATGAAAGATGCTCAGTATCATTAGTCATTACATAACTGTCGCAAATTAAGACTAGATACTATCGCGGGTAAAATTTTAAAAAACTAATGAAACCAAGTGGTGGCAAGATGTGGAGAACTACCCGTCACCGGTGGAAATGTGTAACAACAGTACAGTCGCTCTGAAAACCTGTTTGGCCGCTTCTTTTAAGTTAAACTTACACTTCCTTATGATCCCAGAAACCCACTCCTAGTTACGTATCCAGCAGTTCTTAAAACATGTATCTGCACAAAAACCCTTACGTGAATGCATATGGCCACTTTACTAATATTTGCTCCCCCAGCTGGAAATAACATAAATCTTCAACAGGTAAACGAATAAACTGTAGTAGTGCCAATGGAATACTCTATCTTTAAAGAGGAATGAACTACTAATGAACTACAGCATGGGTTAATCTCACAAACATTATGGGAAGTGAAAGAAGCCAGGCATGGGGGAATATATCCCATAATTCCATTTACATGACATTCTCTAAAAATGCAAAAACTACTGGGGCAGAGATCACTGCCAGTGGCCAGAGAAGGGGACTGAATGCAGGGGCGGAAGGAGAGAAAGTTTGAGGATGACAGGAACACCCTGTATCTTGACTGTAGTGGTGGTTGTAAGACACACATGTGTCAAAACACATCAAACTGTACAGTGCAAAGGGTGAATTTCACGGTTTGTAAATTATACTTCAATAAACCTCACCTTCAAAAAGTCTGCAGACTTTTAAAGGGTTTTAATATACATGGCCAAATTGCCCTTCCATTAACTTAATTTCTTCTCCTACTCCCATTTAATTTACATTCCCCCTGGTGTTCTACGAGAGCCTGCACCCTCTTCAGCCTCAATATCATCAGATTATTATTTTTGGCTTTTCCAATCTGGTAAGTTCTTTTAAAATGGTACTTCACCATTTTATCTGCAACTCTCTTCTTTCCAGTGATAGTAAACTTTCCTCATCCACTTCTGACAGTGGATGGGTTCTGTGTTCTTCTGTGATCTGTCTGTTCATTGCTTTCAATCATTATTTTAAGAAAATTACCTGGTGTTTTTTCTTACTAATTTTTTGCTTTTGCTATATATATATATATATATATATACATATATATATATATATATTTATATTTATATATATATATATATAAAAGAAAAAATCATAAATTGGGCCTCCTCACAATTAAAAACATCTGCCTTCTGAAAGACACTGATGAGAGAAAAGGAAAGGTACAGATGCAGAAAGTATCTGCAAAGATCTGAGAGAAGGTATATATACATATATATATATATATCCCCAAATATTTTTCATAAGCATGCTTTCCAATTTCTCATTTTCTTTCATTTTTTCAATTTTTTTTAATATAGACATTTTAAAATTTGAAATTTCTCAATATTTTCTAAAATTTTTTCTTTTGTACCATTACTCAGAAATTTCTTCCCTCATCTAGAGTTGTTAAATATTCAACTATGATTTATATACTTTTCATAGACTCAAATTTTTTTCACTTTTTAACTCTCTCCCGTCTGATAGAGTGGCCACTAGCCATTTGGAATTACTTAAATTTAAATTAACTGAAATTAAGCTTTTCCCCTGCATTTTCTTATGGTATTATGGTTTCAGGTCTTATATTTAGATCTTCAATGAGTTAAAGATTTAATATTTGTGTAGGGTGTAGGTTGAGTCATTTTATTCTTTTGCATGTCTCTGTCCAGTTTTCCCACCATCATTTATTGAACAGACTATTTTTTTTCTCATTGTATATTATTGATGCCCTTGTCAAAGATTAGTTGATAGTAAATGTATGGCTTTGTTTCTGAGCTCTCTATTCTGTTCTACTGGTCTGTGTCTGTTTTTATGTCAATAACATACTGTTTTGATTACTATTGTATTGTCATATAGTTTGAAATCAGGAAGTGGGATGTCTCCAACTTTGTTCTCAAAATTGCTTTGGCTATTCAGGGTCTTTTGTGATTCCATATAAATTTGAGGATTGTTTTTTCTATTTCTATGAATTTTGTCTTTGGAATTTTGATAGGGACTGCTCTGCATAGTATGGCTATTTTAATACCATTAATTCTTCCATAAACATGGGTTGTGGCAATGATTATTTTCAACTGACACCAAAAGCACAGGCAACAAAACCAAAAATTAGAATTACATCTAACTTAAAAGATTCTTTCCAGCAAAGGAAACCATCAACAAAATAAGAAGGCAAGCTACAAAACTGTAGAGAATATTTGCAAACTCTAGATCTGATAAGGGGTTAATATCCAAAATATATAAGAACTAGCAAGAAAATAACTTGATTTAAAAATACACAAAGGACCTGCATAGTCACTATTCCAAAGAAGATATACACATGCCCAAAAGGTGTAAGAAAAAGTACTCAAACTTATTATCATCAGGGAAATGAAAACGAAAACCACAATGAGATATCATTCAATCTGTTGGGATGGCTATTATAAAAAACACAAGAGATAATCAGTGTTGGTGAGGGTGTGAAGAAGAGGGAATCCTGTAAACTCTTGGTGGGAATGGAAATTGGTATAGTCTTAACGGAAAACAATATGGAAGTTCCTCAAAATAGCACTATCATACAATCCAGCAATCCAACTTCTCGGTGTACATTGAAAGGAAAAGAAATCATTATCTTAAAGAGATATGTGCACTCCCACATTACCAGGGCATTTTTCACAACAGCCCAAATATGTAAATAAACTTCGTGGTCACTGGTGGATGAACGAATAAAGAAAATGTGGTAGATACGTGCAATGATTATTTGGCCATAAGAAGAAATATGCCATTTATGACAGCATGGATGAGCGTGGAAGACATTAAACCAGACACAGAAAGACAAATACTGTATTATCTCACTTACATGTGGCATGTAAAGAAGTGAAACTTATAGCACCAGAGAGTAGAGAAGTGGTTGCCAGGGGCTGGGGAAGGTGGAGGGGGGTGGAGAAATGCGGAGATGTTGGCCAAAGGGTACAAACTTTTAGTTAGAAGATGAATAAGTTCTAGGGGTTGAATGTACAGCATGGTGACTAGAGTTAATAATGCTGTGTACCTCAAATTCGCTAAGAATAGACCCTTAAGTGTTATCACCACAAAACAAAAGAAAGTAACTATATGAAGTGATGAATGTGTTAATTAAATTGATGATGGTCATCACGTCACAACGTACTCTATGTTAAATCATCACTTTGTACATGTTGTACAGCCTAAATATAAGCAATTTTTATTTGTCAATCATACCTCAATAAAGCTGGTGGGAGGGAAGCAAGGTAAAATAAAATAATTAATTAATAACCAAAATTAAATTAAATTTAAAATTCGGTTTCTCAGCCACACTAGTCACATTTTTAAAGATTCTTTTAGAGCAGTGTTAGATTCAATTTTGGTAAATTTAGAGCAATTTAGGTAAAACTGAGCGGAAAAGTACAGTGAGTTCTCATACACCTGCTGCCCCCACCCCTCCAACAGTCTCCCCCACTATCGACATCCCACACCAGAGTATTATGCCTGTTGCAATGGATGAACCTATATTCATGACACAGCAACACATCCTTATAACCGAAAGTCTATTTGGTTTACATTACAGTTCGCTTTTGGTGTTGAACATTCTACGGACTTTGGCAAGTGTAAAACATGTATGTACCTACCAGGGCAGTATGACACAGAACACTCTCACTTCCTTAAAAATCCTCTGTGCTCTGCCTACTCATCTCTCCCTCCCCTCTAACCAGTGGCAATCACTGACTGATCTTGCTTGCATCTCCACAGTTTTGCCTTTTCCAAAATGTTGTAGAGTTGGAATTATACAGATTTTCACTTAGTAATATGCATTTAAGTTTCCTTCATGTCTTTTCATGTCCTGACTGCTCATTTCTTTTTAACACTGAGTAATATCGCATTGTTTGGATGTAGCATAGTTTTTTCTCCATTCACCTATTAAAGGACATCTGCATTGATTCAAGTTTTGGCATCTATGAATAAAGCTGCTATAAACATCTGTGTGTAGATTTTTGTGTGGATGTAAGTTTTCAACTCCTTTGGGTAAATACCAGGCAGTGTAATTGCAGATCATATGTTATGAATATGTTCAGTTTTTAAAGAAACCGCCAAACTGTCTTCACAGTGGCCATACCCTTTTGCATTTCCAGCAGCAATGAATGAGAGATCCTGTTGCTCCACATCTTTTTCAGCATTTGGTGGTGCACAACCAACGTCTCAATGGCTCAACAGCCACACGTGGCTGATGGCTACCATACTGCACAGTAATGTACCGAATACTTCCATCCTCAGAGAAAGTTCCACTGGAAATGCTGCTCTGCTTCAAAGCTATGTGTTTATACAGTGAAAGAGGAGCTACTGTGACTTTTAATTTGTTTTCTCTGCACAAATCCACCCCATCTCCCACTGGATTTGATGGTTCTTTATTTACAGTCGCTCAGAAGTTCAAATTTCAGCTACTTAACTATATGTCCATTAACAAATTATTTAAAGCCCTCTGAGTCTCAGTTTCCCCATATGAATTACTTCTTAGTGTAGTGCATTAAATGAGATGAACAAGGTAAGATAAATCACAACATGTTAATCCTCATTTGTAAACTCTTCTGGGTTAGGAGTTTGATTTTTGAATGTCTCTGTATAATACTGTGAGGATTCCTCCTGGAAACAGAAGCTTAATACTGCACTCACCCGATCTGGATTTCTGTAACCTAACAGTAGATTTGCTGCTTTTATATCACCGTGAACATATTCATTTTCATGTATATATTCCAGGACATCCAACTACGAAAAGAAATACATATATATCGGTAACTATTTCAAACTCATGATCAACTTCGAACATTCTGAATATAGAGTAACACTTTTTCATATTAACAATAACAAACTGACATATTCCATACTTAGGTATTTATCCACTTATCACATGTACTGGTCACTTATCCTCAAAAAAAGCTGAATACCATGATCTGCAAATATCAAGTGTTTTAATTAAACTTCTGAGAGAAGGAAACCAAGATTCAAGAATGCCTATGCCTACGCCCTCACAGCCTGGTAGCCAAATCACACTATGCAAAGAGGAGAAACGCAGCAAAATCGGAGATGCAAAGTAAAATAACCCTGAAGCTCCCTCAGCAGTTCCTCACCCAAGCAATGGTTATAAATTGAGTTTTGGAGACCCCAGAACAAAACAGCATGTCCATGAACACACAGAAAGGCATTCTCCCTCTGGACAGTAAGAGAAAATGCCTTAGCTTCATCTTTGAAGCCCTGGAGCCTTGCATGTTACCTACGCCTAGTGCTCAATAAACATGTGCTGGCTGCCTAAATGGATGAATGGATGAACGGGAAAATTAACGAGTTCTATTTGCCACATCCCGACCTGGAGCGAGCAGTTTCATTCTATTTAAAATGGAAAAAAGAAAATGGAGCTTGGGCAAACCAAACACAAACAAGATAAGACAAATATATGGTATAAACAAAATGTGTGCATGGGTGCCATTAAGATTTCATTGCTTCTTATTTGGCAAAGTATGTATTATTCATTGCCATACTAATTACTGCCACCATCCCAAACTCCTAATAAAAACTTTATAGCACCCCCATACCATCACATGTTTAGTATGGAAAATAATATATTTTGCCATAGTTTGCATTGTTATAAATATAGCCGACAAAAGAGAGGTTATTCTTATAGCAATGCAAGCTTGTTCTGATATGTTAAACAAAGCTGTGAGGGGAAAAAAAAATCAGACTGTAGAACCAATGCCTAATTGAGTTTGTAGTGCCAAACACAGCACATTCTGTCACTTACAGAGCCCACTGTTATCAATTTCACCAAAATAGCCTCTACTCTAAATAACTGACATTTCTAGGGCAATAATCCTTCATTCTCTGATAATTCCACAAAGGGCAACGATTTGTATATTGTAACAAGTAAATAATCTGAAAATGAGGCATGTGAAATAAGTCATTCATTCTTACCATTCGGACACCTAGCTGCAGGACAGTTGACTTTTTAAAAGTACCATTCTGGTCTGAGATCTTCTGTAAATCTATTCCTAGTCTTTCCATTACCATAAATCTGTAACTATAAGAAGGAGACGTCAAAAAGAGATCTTAAGATAGCAGTGCTTGAAACTGCCTATTTATGAATCTGAAACAAGGAAAAACACCCCCAACCTAACAATGAAGAACACTGCAATCCGAACCATTAAAGAATGAATGTACATTAATAATCTTGCTGTTCTTTTAAGAAAGATACAAGTCAGTATCTACTCTGCAGTTAGTTTCTAGTAGAAGAGAACGCTATGTTGAAACACGCTCACTCGTAGATCGTGAAAAGAGAATGTTCTTTCTAAATTAAAGAGTCCTCAGTTTGACTCATTTTGATTTCATCATCCTCTCACTAAGACCTTTAACAAATTATCTGCCCATACACAGAATATTATTTACATTTGTTTCTTGACCTTATGAATCATATTTTACTTTCTATACATACTTATAAACATGACTTTTAAAAATGTACTTCTTTTCAGGGTACCTGGGTGGCTCAGTTGGTTGAATGTCTAGTCTAACTCTTGGTTTGGCTCAGGTTGTGATCTCAGGGTCATGAGACTGAGGCTCTGCACTTGGCATGGAGTCTGCTTGAGATTCTCTCCCTCTCTCTTTGCCTCTCCTTCCCACACTCACACACACACACACTCTCTCTCTCATAAATAAATAAACCTTTAAAAAAATGTACTTCTTTTCTGTTTGGCACCTCTGTCCCTTTTCTTCCTTTCACTTACATGCCCACATCAGTCTGCATTTATCTATGTATAAAAACATGAACACAGACATAAAGGAATTTTTGTCCTTGTTTTACAAAAATGTGATATTACATGCACTTTACTGCATCATACTTTTTTCATTAGTATTTCACTGAAATCCTCCCAAACCAACGGGTATAGCTTTAACTGGTTTCTTTAATGGGCTGCATAATATTACATGATATGGACATACCTTGATCCACTCAGCCACTCAGGCCTCTATTAACAGCCCTTTACTTTGTTCCAAGATTATTGATCCTTCATTTTGTTTTTATTGACAGCATTTAAAGACCATTTGAACAAAGCACTGACCATTGAGCCTATCTCCTCATCTAGGGAAAAAGACATCACCTCTCTTAAAAGGCTATTGAAAGGGGGTAACTAACAAACTGATTTTTTTTTTCTTTTTTAAAAATCACTAGTCAATTATTTATATATGAGGACTAGCCATATGTGGCAATTAAAAAATATATTCTACAAATTCTTTGTTGTGCCTTTTCTCAAGAGACAAAGCTTAATTAAATCTCCTCTAGTGTGTGGAGTAGACTTAGCGACTCGCCTCTAGCAAAGAGACTATAGTGGAAATATGTGACATCACTGCAAGATTCAAAATAAGTCAGAGAAAGACAAATACCACCTGATTTCACTCATGTGGAGTTTAAGAAACAAAAGAGATGAACACAGGGGAAGGGGGTGGGGAGAGGGAAGCAAACCATAAGAGACTCTTAACAACGAGGACAAACAGGATTGATGGAGGGAGGTGGGCAAGGGATGGGCTAAACAGGTGATGGAGATTAAGGAGGGCGCCTTTGATGAGCACTGGGTGTTCTATGTAAGTCATGAATCACTGAACTCTACTCCTGAAACCAAACTGCACTGAATGTTAACTTTTTTTTTTCCAAATTTTTATTTAAATTCTGAAGATTCAATTTAAAAAAGGCTGTGGCTTTATTCTTGGATGCATGCTCCTATGTGTGTGTGTGTGTGTGTTTGTCTCCCACTCTCTTTCAATTATTTGCTCTAGGAAAAGCCAGCTACCATGTCTTTATGACACTGAGGCAGCCTACTGAGAGACCTATTGGGAGGCCTGGGGAAGTGAGGCCCTCAAACAATCACGTGAGTGTATTCAGAAGCAGATCTCTTTAGACCTGCCAACAGCCACACGAGTGACCTTGAAAACAGATCCGTCCCCAGTCAGGTCCTGAGATAATTGCAACCCAAAAGACAGCTGACTGCATCCTCAGAAGTCCTGAGCTAGAACCATCTGGGGAAACCATAATTTCCATGGGTAACTTCCATGTTGGCTACCCATGGAAACTAAGATGATAGTAGTCTCTTACAAGCTACTATGATTTGGGTAATCTGTTACATAGCAAAGGTATCAGAGCACATAAGACATAGTCATTGAATGAAACTCAGTAAAAATAATTCCATTTTACCTTCTTCCCTTGAATTCAGTAATACCGGATCCATAAAACAGAGGAATTCCTAAATAATCAAGTTGTTTGAGTTCTATCCAGTTTTCGACTATAAAGAAATATTTAATAGGAAAAAAGATATATATTTTTAGAAATGTTATTTCTTACTTTTTCATAGATCCTAAAACTTAGTTAGCTAACCTAAACAGAAATTAGACCTTTCTAGTAAATGTTTTAAGGAATCAAATACATCTATCTAGTGGCTTCAAATTCTATTTATCACTATAATTAACATAAAAACATATACCGAAATTTTTAATTAAAGCAACTATAATAACCAAAACAAAAGTAGTCATGGTCATAAAATGCATTAGCATCATATACACAAGTGTTTCTATTTATGAAAAAAATTCGTTCCCTTATATGTTAAATTTTAAAATATAACATATGTTCAAAAAATTAAAATAAAATGAAATAGAACATATGTTAAGTACCAAAGAATCAGTAGAGAGATAGCTTTTTCTTTTCCATTACTTAAAAATTTAAAGCCATGGTAGTTGAAAAAATAGAAATTGGGCAGAAAAAATCATCTCACTATGAAATTGTTATACAGAAACTGCTTTGATTAAATTTAGTTCAAAAAAAAAATCAAATCCACTGACACCGTCAGGTAGCTTATTTCCCACTTTTCTACCATATATATTTAATAAGTATGACAGCTCTACAATAAACAATCAAGTTTAATGGATTCTATTTGTCACCCTGACATAGTTTAAACAGTTAGTAAAGAGTACTGTCATAACATTTAGAAGGTTTTATTAAGGAAAACAAAGTTAATTACTGAGGCTAGTCTTATCATTCTTTTTCTAAAACAATGCAGAGGACCTTGACTATTATCATTTTTATTTATATTAACTTCCTGAGAGCTCTATTTATAAAATGCTACTGCTATTCTTCAGCTTGCTCACATTCATTTTACATTCAATTCCTCTAACTGGTGGTTTTTACATGTGATTTCCAGCTCCAGTTATTTTCCCAACAATCAAGTTTCTAACACTTTTAACTCATGGTCTAAATCATTTTAATGTTTAAACATTTCCATGTATCTTACACTAATCCATTCTATGGACATTCCTTTTGTTTATATATCTACCGTCCATTTTAATATCTTTTCCTTACAATCTTTGACTCCAAATGGTTTCCTACAAATTATTTCATTCTACTATCTTTATACTTAGAGAACTCTTGGTAGCTTAGACCAACAACTTGACATTGCATATAAAGTAGTGGAAATAATATTGATTTCTGGGCACCTGGGTGGCTCAGGGGGTTAAAGCCTCTGCCTTCGGGTCGGGTCATGATCCCAGGGTCCTGGAATCAAGCCCCGCATTGGGCTCTCTGCTCAATGGGGAGCCTGCTTCCCCCCTCTCTCTGCCTGCCTCTCTGCCTACCTGTGATGTCTGTCGGTCAAATAAATGAATAAAATCTTAAAAAAAAGAAATAATATTGATTTCAAATATATAACTCACTGTGTATATAATACCAACATTTACAAAGCCTCTATCCTACTTTTATATAAGTTAATTATATAAATTATAATAAAACTTCTAATTGAAAATAATTTTCCAGAAGGCCAGAAAAAAAGAAAAATATTAACATTCACTTTAGCGCATATATATATGTATATATATATGCATATGAAAGTAGCTTGCTTTGCTAAATTTACTTACTATGGTCTTTTTTTGCAGCTCTTTGGTAAAATTTAAGTTCTGAAAATAATGGGCCATTTTCTTGATATTCCTATAAAAGAAAAGAATAATTAATTTTATTAGGTAAAAACAATCTTAAGGATAGATTTGGTATTTCAACAATGAAAATATGAGTATACATGTATAGTATATAAATAGTGCTTGAATTATTTATTAAAAACAGAGGCATCAAATTTCCACTAAAAAAATCTCAGAAAAGCACTAAATAAACTTAGAGAATCTCATGCTTAAATTTAATATACTGTAATGCTATCTACACAATCTTAGCCATGAAAGTAGTCTTTTTATGGAAAAAACTTACTAAAAGCAATGAAAATTATATATACACATATACACAGATAGTCAGTGTCTACCAACATGGACATCAGGGTAGATATACTACAAACTAGCCTGGGGTTCATTCACACAAGACACCTTTACTAAGCATCTACTATATTTCATCCATTGTACTAGGCATAGGGGATACAAACAAAAGTAAAACCTCATCCTTGCCTTTAAGGACCTTACCATTTAGAATAAAGAGGAAAGAAAGGGAGAAAGGAAAGGAGAGATAGCTAGATAGGATAGAAAAATGATAAATGCCAACACAGAAAAACAAAGTTCTCCAGTCTTTACATTTTAATAATGTGAAAATATACCATAACACTACATTTGTTGATAAGATCATAAAAGCTAAATTAAAAACTGTTTTTACAAAGATACCAGGAATAAAGCAGAAAACAAAAAAGTAAAATATATATGAAATATAAATTTAAGAGTAATACTAACCACTTTTATTACATGTCTTGCATCTTTATCTGGTTTATTTGTGGGGAAAGCTGCAGAAAAAAAAAAACATAAGGTGGAGTAGAGTAAGTCGTTGTTCCCAGTTACTGAATATCTACTATATCCCAGACACTGTGCTAAGCACTTTACATATCTTCATTTATTACATCCTTCCAAGAACCTCTTCTGGTAGGTATCATCTTCATGTTACACAAGATACTAAGGTTCGAGAAATTGAGTAATTTGTTCACTAAGAAGTGCAAACTGGGGACTGAAACTCAGTCTGATACCATAGCCCACACTTTGTCATACATCACATTCAAATATTTAAACATGGAAACCAACACATATTAAACACACAAATCCAAATGTAGGGAGAAATATTTTCTAGATACATAGCATTAACCCCCATATATAATAAATAATAAAATTTTATTATTCAATTTTAATTTTATTAAATTCCATTTTATTAAACTAAAATCTGTAATTCAGAAATGAAAATTGATTCATCTTAACTGGAAAGTTCAAAACAATTTCTATGTGGCAAAATTCTAAAAAAAAAAAAAAATCAAGTGAGAATGAGAATAAATCTTTAAAAAATCATTTTCTGAACCTGGCAATCAATGTATTCCTTAATGCAGGAACGATTATCTCCTAAAAAGCACCATTTCAAGTTATCTAACTTTATTTTATTATTTGCTATTTGCATTTCTAAAAATTTCTTCTTTATTTTTTCTTTAAATAGGCTTCACAGTTAACATGGGGCTCGAACTCACAACCCAGAGATCAAGAGTCACATGATTTACCAAACTGTGCCAGCCAAGTGCCCCTTGTATTTTAGATATAGTAATCAAACTTCTGACAATTCCACTGTTCAAATTTTTAGATCAAATCAATCCTTTCATCTATATTATCTAAGTTATTAAGAAGTCACAGTTTTCAAATCTTGGTAAGTTGATGCATATATTTATTTGTACTGTGAAAGTCAAGAATCTTGTCATTCATCCCTTCATTCTCCTTCCATTCATTCCTTCAACTAACCAATAGTTATTTATCATGAGGCCAGAATTTGCAAGGCACTGTGTCAAGTGTTAGTAGGATGTTTAAAGGAGAGTGAAAGGAATGTGGAACTAGTCCTCAATATGATTAAATATCAGCACCTAACAGATGGAGAATAAGATCAATTCTTCACATTTATTTTCAGTAAGCTTACCAGACACTGTCCTCTTATGATTATCCCTAACATTTCCCCCCTTTCTCCTAACTTCATCTCCTAACTTTTCTCTTTTTCACATGATAGATATAAAAAAATCACAAATTTACCAAAATATACCAATCCCCCTTTACGGTTGTGCCCACTCATGCACAACTTTAACTGTTCTCCAAAAATTTTAATGTCAGCCTGCTATCAACCATTTGAAGAAATTATTACCTAAGTCTTAGTTGATATTAGACGTAAACTATGAACCCAGAGCTCTTTCCAAAGAAACTAAACTTATTTATATCAAGTAATTTTTACCTTTTCACCTTGATGCATGTAAAGTCATTCCACTGTCACCCATGCAGTAGTCCCAAGGGAACTGCAGGAGGAATAGATTATCTATATATCTAAGGCAAGAAAAAACTAAAGAGAGTGTATATAGAAAAAGGGGTCCAGTCCTGTTAAAGAAGAAAGGGTAAGAAAAGCCTTTCTTCTCACCTATGGCAAACTATTTTTACCAGGATGGTACCAAAGCCTGGGGAGAAACCACCCTGCCCCAATCCCCGTCCACTTACTGCAGTGCTGACTCTGGGCAAGGGTCTTGGCTTCCTGAGGTATAAGTTGGTAGAAACTTCCTGCTTCTTGCCTAAAAGCAAGTGGCCCCAGCAGCAAAGACATCAACAAGCCCAACAGATATAAGCAGAAAAGCACAAAAGAAAAATTGGGGTTTTCAACTAGATAAATAACTTATTTGGGTGCTAATGGGAAAAGAGATATCTAACCAGTGCAATGGGCTACTCCCTGCTGATTTCAATCCTTATAGCCCTACTACTTTCTAGCCTTTCACATTATTTCACATGAACATAACTATGTGTTGACAGATACTCAAAACATCCCACACTTGTTATGATAACTATATAATACTCTCCATAAACTTCTAAGTCAGATTATATTGGAGGGCCTAAATCCAAAATCAATTGACTACAAAGCTCTTGGAGATGGATGTCGAATGAATAAATTGTCTTCGTTACCATGGAGGTCTCTTTATGGTAATCAATCAGTTAATTAATGAAATAAATATTTATTTTCTACTGTAAGCCAAGCCACGTTCTAGCTAATGAAATTAAAAGATAATGGAAAACAGACATGGTATCTGCTTTTATAGTCTAATGGAGAAATCAGACATTCATCAAATACTCATACACAAGTGCAAAACTGTAATTATAATAAATGTAAAAGGGAGAGGTAGATAGTAATAAGAGAATATATAATTTAACTTATATAAAAGGGAATTATTGAGCAAGAATAGTTGGAGAAGTGATGATGGGCCAGATGTAAATCTAGTTAATAATTTCTGCCTAATGAACGGTTTTAAAGACTTGAGGTGTTGTTGGAGGACAGGAAACACATTATTAGATTTGCATTCTGGACAGATCCCGTTACCACAGTGTGGAGAACAGACTGAAGGGGAACCGGAGTAGATACTGACCTATCAGTAAGGATGTAATTTCGATAGATCAGAAGAAAGAGGATTATAGCTTGCACTATACTATCAATGGCAGATAAAAAATGAGCAGATTCCAGAGATGCAGAGATTTCAGAAAGCGAAATTGTTAGGACTTGATAAAGGAGGGAAAGGGATCTTGTTTGGTAGGTTACTGCTAATTAATCTATTCAGGGTTGAAAAGAATGATCAATCCCAGATAGTGATAGTCTTGAAATTATAGCAGTCTCACATCTTCATTGAAATTTCTAACCTGAGGTCTGATGAGCTGCTAAAAAACACATACTGCACATACAAGATATCTGCCCTCCTAGCACTTTTTTCTATTCATTGGGAACTCTGTCTGGTTTTTCCTTTGAGGAACCAAACCACCCTCTACCCATGTGAACCTTGTAGGGCTGCTTAACACAGTATACCTGCCCTTACATCTCAGAGTTGGGTAGATGACCAAATCTAGCTAATTGGAATATATAAGCCCACCGGCCACAGTAACCTGTTCAGAAAGAGCAACATGCCCCAAATAGGCAAAAAGTTATTTCCTATATATATCCGATGTAACACAAGGAGGGCATAAGCTGTAAGGATACCAAATCCCAGAAATCACTTTCATCAGCTAAATGGAAAATGAAGTCTGAGAATCAAATCCAACACTGAAAAATGTAAGGTTAAGGCAGGAAGAAAGGGCCCTGTTGACCGTGCTTAAGCTCTAGACTATCCATACCTGAAGCCAAAAAAGCCCTATAATTCTTTTATAAGAGTTAATAAATCCCTCGTTCGCTTAAATACATTTGAGTTTCTGACACTGGCAACCAAAGACAACACAGACGGCAACTAGAAAAACTAAAACATGATGGCATCTGATAAAGAATGTCATAAAGTAGCACACTAGATAAATGAAAACCTTCTTCTATAAAATAAAGAAGATGCCAAAAATAAGTCAAACTTTCTTATAAATGAAGAGTTGATCTAGTTAAATAAATAAATAGGAAGCCCAAAACAGAGAAATCTAAAAACCAGAGGGAGGGTCGCCTGTGTGGCTCAGTTGGTTAAGCATCTGCCTTCGGCTCGAGTCATGATCTTAGAATCCTGGGATTGAGTCCCAAATCAGTTCTCTGCTCAGCGGGGAGACTGCTTCTCCCTCTCCCACTTCCCCCTGCTTGTGCTCACTCTCTCACATAAATAAATAATTTAAAAAAATCTTTAAAAAATAAAATAAATAAAAAAATAAAAACCAGAGGGAAATAAATGTACCTGAGCACTAATGTTCTAGGCCATGCTGTAGGCCCCAAAGAGGCTGCCCACTCAGGGTAGCCAAGGATATTAGTGTTAAAGCCCTCTTGGGGAAAAGACAAGTCCTTGGGGCTTCAATAGGCAGAGATTTGAAGTTAAGTTGGTCACATAAAGTCAGATTTTCCAAGGCCTACATCTTCAGTAGTATGAAACATTTAAAGAAGAGAGAGAAGGAAATGGGGAGATGTGGGGAGAAGGAGGAAAGGAAAAAGGGGAAGGAAGGAGGGAAAAGAGAAGGAAAAAAAGACAGATAGACAAGACTTCACCACTGTCAAACACATAAAAACAAAAACAAAAAAACCTACCTTCTGTAGCTTAGACCCTGAGTATGAGGAAAAGTAGAGTCTTTCCTGAAAATTTGTTACTCCGAAGCTGCCTTCAGGAATTTGAGGCTCAAATTTACAAAACAGTATGGTACAAGGATTTGAAACCAAACGATAACCCAGAAGCCTTGCAGAAGCAAAAGAAACAAATCTTCAAGAGACACACTGGACCCACATGATTACCAGAGATACAGCATGGCTAAAGATGAGTCAATGGTCCAATACCACAAAACAGGAAAGAAAGCAAACAAAAGGCATAAATTCCAAGAAATTCAGACCTCCCATATAGCTTAAATATCTGCTTGAAATGATAACAGACACAAAGTAGAAACACAAAGAAACAATGCAAAACATTCTATGAAAAAATGAACTGGTTGTAATTCAAAAAACATCTGAGATCTAAGAGACAGTGACCAAAAACAAGAAATACATTAGAACTTCAAGAGGAGGGACACATAGGTGGCTTAGTGGTTAAGTGTCTGTCTTTGGCTAATGTCATGATCCCAGGGTCCTGGGATTGAGTCCCACATCAGGCTCGTTGCTCAGTGGGAAGCCTGCTTCTCTCTCTCCCTGCCTGTGCTCTCTCTCTCTCTGACAAATAAATAAATAAATATAATATTTAAAAAAGAAAAAAGAAAAAGAACTCCAAGAAGAAATATATATGGAAGTAAGTATGAATTTGGAATAGTCCAATGCTGGAAATTACATACACATTTATCTTCAGTAGAATGTGTA